TTTGTCTTACGAGCTCAAGCTCCCGGACTATCTTCGCTGGATCCACCCGGTCTTCCACGTCTCACAGCTGGAGCCAGTTACACCGAACCCGTTCCCGAATCATACTCAATCTCCTCCACCTCCAATTGAAGTTGATGGTGAAGAGGAGTACAACGTTGCCAAAATCCTTGACTCCAAGCTGGACAGAAGGTATAAACGTTGTCCTCTACGCTACTACATTCGGTGGGCCGGTTACAAAGGTACCAACAATGAATTCTCCTGGGTTGCTGCTGATGAGTTACATGCTGATGAACTGGTACCCGCTTTCCACGCTCAATACCCTCAGAAACCTGGACCTTGATCACAAAAAATCATTTTATTCCTTTCCCCGATTCCGCCGTGCTCTGCCGAAGTTTACTTTGTGCGTTTAGAGGGTAAAAACGATGATAGTAAATTGAGTGTTTATCTCTCTTAATTGCTTATCTTATCCTTCAAGTTACTGTTTTCACTTATGTTTCATTCACACTTTAGCTACTTCTACTTCGAACTAACTAATTCTTCCGCCGCTTCGCGGCCCATTCCTTTTCCGACTTTAAACGCGATAACATTTTTTTTTATATATACAAAAAGGCAAAAAGAAAAAAACAAGAAGACAACAAGAAAGGTTACAAGTACGTTACAAGATTAGGCCGAGAGGCCGATGTCCGATGTCCGTCTCCTACTCCGCCCTTTCCTTCCCCTTCACCGACTGCGCCTTCGCCGGCGCCGGTTCCTCCTCTACCATTTTGTCCTCATCTCCTTCTCCATCTTCCTCCATTCCCTGCTCCTCTACTTCCTTCTCCCTTTCGCGATCCTCTTCTTTGTCGCTGTCCATTACCCTTCTTTGCTTCTTCAACAATCCTGATGGCCCGGCTTCCGGCAGTTCAGGGGGTGTTCTCCTCCTCCTCACGGCATCCGTCACAAGCCAGTCCAGCTTCCGATTGATGTGTCGATGGTAGGTGTTGGCTTTTACCTGTCCATCACGGAGTTGTCGGTTGTCGGCTAGTAGTTGGGCTACCTGGCTCTCCAGGACAGCCAGGCGCTCACCGGTCAGGTTGGAGCCGCCTTCTCGCTTCACCGTCGACGGCCGTCCGGAGTACGAACACCGTACCTTCGCATCGTGGCAGGGTTTACAAATGATGGAACTTCTCTTGCCAGATGCAGGCTGGCAAGAGATCTTCTTTGTCCCGCATCGTTCGCAAGGTTCCTTTTCGTCGTCGCCATCATCCGGGTCTTCGTCAATGGGCTAGCAGGAGGAAGTTAGACAATTACCTAGTTATAGTGATGGGAAAACGCACCTGGGCCTTAGCCTTGCCTTTTCCTTTACTCTTCTTTGAAATTTCAACCACGGGCCTCCGCAGCGAAACCGACACCTCACTTGGAGAGGTCCCTCTCTGACTCCGATAACAAGCTTGCCTCGTTTTTGTGTGAAAGAGAAAGGAAGGAATCTAATGGGCACTCCAACCAACCAATCTAATACACAATATGCGAGTTCACTGCTATCAAATTTATTTAATAGCAAGGGGTAGCGTTGGCAAAGGTTCCGCAAAGCTTTGAGAGCTAAGTAAGAAGCTTTGATCAATCAATTTGAATCGTTCTAAGGGTTCGATATATTCCTTTGATCAAGGTAGATTCAGCACGATTTGTGCTTTGGTTTGTATTGATCTGGGTATATCAAGAATTGGGGGTTTGAATCAAAGTAAATTAAAACCGAAACACACAGACCCCTACGGAGGGCTAGAACTATGTGCTGGCACAACCACACAGCGTGATTTGCCCTTAAGACCAACGACTGATCCTAAGTTCGAAGAATACCCAACAACTGGATAGACTTCTCGCAGTCACAAGGAGCAGAACACGACGTTCCTATACTCACAAGTGCCGGGCCCGAATGGCTGCTAGCGAAGAGGTTTCAGTCTGGCGGGAGTGTGTCTTTCCTTTTTATGGATTAGCACTGCAACGTCATCCCAAAATCACTTCTATTCCAGATACATCGGATCGCTATTTATACATACAGAATATAGAGTCGCATAGTACAATTAATTTAATACAATAAACGTTCGGAACCGCAAGGAAACTTCTACACTCAGTCAGATACCATTTAATTTGAATCTACATGTCCTTATTTGGTCCATATTAGTTCCAAGATTCTAGTATACCTCCAAACATAGGTAGGTACTTCAATATTCATTTAATTTAATTGTTTTTGGAGGATGACTCGAATAGTGTTCAACTGTCATTGCTGTTCAACACTTACTTCGATCGTTTGTCACCTCGTCCGGAGGCAAATCAGCTCTCCTCGATCCTAATCCTATCAATCTGATTCATCTGGATTAAACTAATTGCTTCTCTCTTTCAATAGACACCCATTGTGCCTATACTCAATCAAGGGAGTTACGCATAGTATTCATTTAATTGCATTCTTCAATATTTTCTATGTCAGGACTCTTTGACATTCATTTGATATGTCTTTGGAGCCTCGCAGTCTTCCGATCATTCTTCTAGTCATTTTACTCAACCATGCAACTTGATTGGTCTATTAGACTAAATCGCAGTCTTTTTTAGATTAATGCATGATCTCATTCTAGAAGGAGTATTTGATAATTCCTGAGTTCTAGAAAGTCATTTCGAGTCAATCCTCGGTTCATGGTCACTTGAGTAAGTTCTTCCAAACTCCTGCCAGTGTAAGGTCCAATAAGAATACCCTTGGTATGTCATACGTGAATGGTCATCCTTCGGATGTAGTCCGAGTCTGGTATAATCCTGCTCGACAAACAGGTAGACTGCTATCCGTAGGTAGTATCGGGGATGGGTAAACTAACCACTTGTGGTAGTATGGGTATATGGTCCCTTCAACTTATTAGACTGATTCAGTATCGACTTTGACTGTCAATCTGGGTCTCAATTACAGTCCTCTTGATACAAATCTATACGTGAAAATGTCACAATTCACAGCATAGACGTCTAGCCAAAATTTAGGCGTGTCACCGAGCGGTCGCCGCCGCAGCCAACAGCCTCCTTCTTTCAGCCACCTCCTCCTCCTGTTGTTGTGCTCGATGAGCCCGCTCTCGTGCCTCCTGTGCCGCCTTCTCTCTAGCTGTCGCTGCTCTGGCAGCCTTTTCTTCTGCGGCCTTTCTCGCCGCCTCCGCCGCCTTCCTCGCCTCACCCTCTCCACACATGCCTGCGCCCTCCGGATTATCTCGTCCTCATCCTCCAGACCTTCCTCCTCTTGGGCAGTGAGGTCAATGGGCGGAGGCGGGACAGGGCGCGACCTCGATGGGCCGGCGGTCGAAGAGCTGGTAGTGGTAGTTTGGGTTCGGCTGGTGGTCATCTTGGAGGACTTAGAAGTTTTGGAACTTGGGTCTTATCGGCAAAACTCTGGGCCTTTTGTACGGCAAAACTGTGCACGGACCAGCGAAAATTTCCCCTCGAATTGTACTCGGCTTATGGTGAACCAATGAAATTTTCCCGATGAATAAAAAGGATAATTGCCAGTGCTAACGGGATATAAAATTTTCTCTCTGGTGACTAATAGTATTGCCCGATGCTAACGGCTTTCGAGGGCTCAAGCCTAAGAGGGGGATACTGTCAAGTCCATGCCTCGGGCCTCCATTCCGCCGCTCGGTCCTCCGAAGATCCACCGTTTATTGTAATCTCACTCTTATTGTTCTTTCTCGCTACACATATCCTTTCGTTCTAGTCCCTCCTTATTGTCTTTTACTTTACCCTGCAGGTACTACATGTATAGCTCCTAGTAGTTAGTCTGGCGCTCCGCACCGCGGCGCCGTTCCGTAGATATAAATACTGCCTGTATGCTACTGTAGTTCCTCAGTTTAATTATCAACTTAGATTCCCTCCTTAACTCTGTGCTTCTCTAAGGCTTCAGGCTCAACGCCTTGAAGTACATTCTACTCTACCTTAGGACTTAGACGTCCTCTGGTTCGCTCCTCGTCACCGGCAATACCGCCGCTCCGACTGGGCTGCTCCTCAGCTCCTCCTTTCTATACTCTCGATCTCCGGGGACTAACGGCGTAACGGCAGTGTTGTTAATAACTTCACTACTGTCCCATTCGACCTCCCACACTTAGGCACCTTGTGACCTCTGGCACGGTTACACGGTGTACATGATCTTAACAGTTACCTGTGCTTCAACTTTTCCTTGTCACTGTAATTAAATGCTCTTATTGTTCCAAATTCACCTGATTTTCTTGCACCAAAAAAAGCAGCCGAGTTTTTCCCATGCACGAAGTGCAGTGGCCTTCAATCGCATGTGTTATTAGCACAGACCTCTTGAACCCCATGTTAGGATATGTAAATAATGGAAATTGGTGCTTGTGCCAGTGGGCATTCATTATCTTACAAGTGGCCATCTTCAAAACCTGGATTTTTGGCTAAGCACTGAAAGCAGTATGCATTGAGTGCTTTCACTACTGGGAAGTGCTCTCAACTGCTTTTGGACATTTAGCCGGAAATATAGATGAACCTTCAAGTACAGTGTACTACAATGAATGATGTCTGACAACATGAAGGTCTATTCTGCAGAAATTCCAATTGAATAGTTTTGATATGATCCGAGTCTGTATTTTCAGCTCATTTTCCAGGAGCACTTCCCAGCAGCCAAACCACCCAGCTATTTGAAAATTTTGCACTCAGTTATTTGGGCACTGGAGAGCACTCCAAGTCTCCAGTCAGTACCCTTGCTTTGGCAAACATATATACAGATTTTGCAGATGTATGTCATTGTGAATTCTTCCAGCATGTACTCACTGGGATTTGTTAAATATAAGTGATTCTGTCAGTGACATCTGCAAAACCTGGATGTTTGCAGGAGCAAGGATACAGGCTGGATGCTCTTAGCTGAACATCTGCAAAACCTGGATGTTTGTGAGAGCAAGGATACGAAAATGTGAATATATTGTTATTAACTATGTTAATGATAGTCTCTCCAATGTCTATGTGAATAACATTGTTATTAACATGCCTTTTAATTATTCACCGTACCCTACTCGAATGTGAAGTAACGAACAGGTGGGGACGCAGGATTACTAGATTGACCCTAACCCTAGTCACTCTCAAATTTTTTTGCTTCACCCTTCGAACGTGAAATGTCGCGTCCAACGCTATGGTCGACTGCTGATATGGATGATGATTTGGCGGATGCGGTTGATGCAGAGCTCTCGATATACGCTCAGCAGGGCCAGAATCCGGCAATATACGACCAGCTTGGAGCACAGATTGAACAGCTTGAACCGCTACTGGCGATTCAGCAACATATGGCTGCTTTGGCTGCCGTGCCCGATGTTGTGAAGAGCGTGAGTGGCGCTGAACCCTTTGATGAACTCAACTCAATCTTGCCGCAGTTTATCGTGTCCTTTCACCAAGCAATACTTAATAGAGACCTTCCTTCGATCACGATGTTCTACACAACAACATTCCCAAAACTTACCGATCGATTCTATTCACGCGCGGAATGGCCTGAACCAGAAATAATTGCGCCTCTGCTTTCGTCGAATAATGCAACTGAGGATCAAGTTCATATCTTCCTTGTACTCTACCGCGACCTGTATTACCGTCATGTTTATTCTCGGCTTCAACCCAACATCGATGACCGTTTTCATTCTTATGAAAACTCATGCGAGCTATTCAACTATTTACTCAACTCTCCCAGCTCAGCTAATGATGAGTCGGATGAACCTGCGCCTGTCGACTTGGTCCTCCCGGAACAGTGGTTATGGGATATCATCGACGAGTTTATCTACCAGTTTCAGGTATTTTGCTCCTGGCGCTCAAAGGTCAAATCCAAGACGGACGATGAGCTCATGATGCTCGCGGACGGAACAGGTGTATGGTCTTCTTACTCTGTCCTCAACGTTCTTTATTCGCTCATTCAAAAATCGAAAATCAACGAGTATATTGTTGCGTTGAAAGAGGAACAAGGAAAGGAAAATCCTAGGCCTGCGGAGGAAGTGGCGCAATCCATTTCCCCCTATACGGCTCTTCCTCTCTACCGAACCCTTGGATACTTTTCTGTCCTTGGACTTCTCCGTGTGCACGTACTCCTCGGTGACTTTACCCTTGGGCTCAAAGTCATGGATCAAGTGGGGGAATTTCTCCTTGGCGGCTCCAGTTTCGGCGCCAAAACCAACAAATCCTCCTTCACCGCCCTTCCTACCCTTCCAGCAACTCATATCTCAACTCATTATTATGTCGGTTTTTGCTATATGATGCTTTGCCGATACCCTGATGCTATTCGCACCTTTGTCACGGTTCTCAACTTCTTTCAACGTATGCAACGCATGCGTAACTACTCTGGTTACGAACGGAAAGACCAGTACGATCAGATTGCGAAAACTGCCGACCGGACTCTAGCGTTGTACGCAATGTGCCATTCTTTGGTTCTACCGGGATCGCCGTTCACTAGACTGGATGATAACATCACTAACAGTGCGAAAGAAAGATACGGGGATCAAATGGGAAGGATGAGTAGGGGAGGAAGTGATGCGCTTGTAGCATTCGAGGAACTATTCCTCTATGCATGCCCGAAATTTATCAACGCCAACTCGCCACCGTATGACGACCCAGAGGCTATCGCATTGTTGCTGAACGCAGATCCTGCGGATGCCGCAGAAGGTTTGTTTTTTTATATTTCTAATTTGTCTTTATCCCTACTTATCTACTCTTTTTTTCCCAGGATCCTCCCCCATACCGACAGACCCTACGCATCGTCACCTTCGTCTCTTCCTGGCTTCAGCAGGCGCACAGTCACCTCTACCTACCCTGCGCTCTTTCCTTCACTTGTACACCTCTCTGACCACTGAAAAGCTCTCGTCGTTTTTGGATTTGGTCAAGGTCAACGAGTCGGATAAGGAAGCCGTTGAAGACGCAGAGGCTGAGGAAGAAGCCATCCAAGAAATGATGGTGCTCAAGCAAAGCAGCAAGAGTTTAAGCCGAATAGTCCCGGTACGTCTCATGCTGTTCATTTTTGACGAAACATTTTTCATTGTTTCATGTAGGTACAAGGCAAAGTTGACAAAGGGAACGATGCATCTTCAACGGGCGTGAGAGCCCAAGGTAGTCTATTGGCTGGAGAGATGATTTCGACGAGTGATTTGAACTTTGTCATTGACGATGTACGTTCTATCAAATCGGAATTTAATCGGAGTAAATTTTTGATCTCATTCGTCCAACACAGAACACAATCCACATCGCTGAGAGCACTGTTGGGCGACGTTATGCCGGGTGGTTTATCAAAAACACTGAACGCTCGCAAAGGGTGTTGGACGAAATTCGTGGGTCACCTCTTCCCAGAGGCAAAATAGGACAAAAGCAACATGTACCTGGTGCGGTCACGTCTGGCGCTGACGCGGGAGCGCCCGCTGGTTCAACAGATATATCAGGGCACAAGAAACCACCAACAAAAACCGTTGCTTGGGGTGGTGCGGGCACTAGGGCAACTGTAGATGTTTAAAGATAGTTCATTGGTTTTTCATATTTGTGCATTGCCTTGTCCAGATATTCTCTGTCATCATCAAATATGATAATTATTTCAGTGAAATCCATTGCCACAAGCCTGAAATCCCATTTGACGCAGCACACGACTGATCAGCCGCTGAACAGTGAGGAGTGGGTGTATGGGCAGTTGATAGGATTTTTCTCCCAGCAAAGGCATGCTACTCAACATCAATCACTAGGCTCCTGGTGGCTATATGTACCCGAACTGTAGATTGAAAATGTAGAATGCACATGAGTGGGTACAGGGCCTCCATACGCTGGGTGAAGGATGGTGAGTTGTAGAACCTCAAAACAAAACAGGTTCGAAGTGTGCCTGTATGTCAAAAAATTGTCCAATCATAGGGTAGAATAGTATTGCATAAGAGTTTCTTCGTTGAGGTAGCAGCATGCCCCTGCAGTTCCCAAACTGCTGAGGAATTTTTACTGGTGAGTCCTGGTGAGTCTAGTTGAGTTGGCAAATTTAAGTCTTGTGTTAAGCACAGAAGATTCATTCAGCATGATCATTGCTCATGCTGAAACTCCATGGGCATTTAATGACTAGGTTGTTGTCCACATATGTATGTACAATTTGTATGTACAGTATTGAGCAGAAAGCAATTGTAATCTGTAACATAAGACTGTTTGGGGAGTTATGGTAATGTATGAGTGAGCATGCGGCATTGAGATTGCGAATGGTAATGATTGAGAGCAATGGTTATAAATACGTAGTGCAAGTACGCGGCAACGAAGACACAACCATGGAAAATTTGATGGGAAGAAAAGAAATAATCAAAAGTTCCTGGTGAAAACCTCTCCGGAATACGGTTTGCACTATGAAAAACATGCTGAGCATCTTTATCTTGTTGCTACAGCATTGAGTGATGGATACATACTAAAGTAAAGCTCCAAAAACATAGAAAGATCCAGAGAGAATGAACCATTGAAATCCTATGTGCTCGAGGGTCACTACGATGCCATGAATAAACGACAAGTGGACGATGGCAATAGTCGAGAAGAAGCCCAAAGCGATAAAAATTGCAGTGCGTACACCGATATGAGTTGGTTTTGCATATTCCGGGTCAAGCACTACAAAAGCAGCCGCTGAAGAGGAGGTGCGACTCAGACGATGAGCTCTGGATTGGATCAAAACAAGCTCACCTAAGTTAAGCACCGTTATTGTCAATATGTAAATCAGTTGGTAATGAGGCTCGCAAAAGAAACCATAGTAGAGAAGCGGGTAATGCGATCCCAGATTAAGAACAATGATCCCTGTATAATCGAAAGCATGACAACGGGATTCCACCTATGTAGATTCGGTCAGTCCTGTCCCAATAAAGAAGAGGAGGATGCCTCACGTCTCGAGAGTGGCAGATAGAGGTATGATACAACGCACTGGAGATGTGACAGAACATTGCGGAGAAGAGGAACAACGCAAACAGTGCTGAATCCAGCCAAGTAGTCTCATGAACTGTCAAACGTTCGGTTCGCACAGTCCCTAGGAGGTAGAGGAAAAATACGCCTCCCCATAAATGACTGTGTATGTTCACTATGATGGCACAGAAATAAGGCTGCGTAGTTAAGGCAAGGTATAGTTTGACGCACCTGTTTCGTTATGCAGGTCTAGCGGACAAAATCGTCAATAGGTTTCGGGTTAGAAATGTGATCTTCCTTACATGCAAACACGGAATGTATGCAGCCTCCCCAGGTATACTGAGACCTACATAGAGTACACAATAAACTATATTGATGAAACAGCTGAGTGAAGAAATGCGCAAAAGTACCTTCGATATCCAGAAAAGATGTATTTATTGTGCTTTTGCCACTGTGGGATTTCGTTCCAAGTGATGGTCCTCGAAGGTTTTCCCACCAGAGGAGTGCCAGAGTCTGTCGAAAATCCAGGAAGTTTGCGACGAGACATGGAAGGAAGGCAAGTCTGGATTCATAAACAACGTGCGCTTGTTTGAGCCTGCTTACCTCCGAATCAAACAGCGAATCGTGATGGTCACCGATAATTTGTTCAGCCTTGCTGCTGGATCACATACTCCTGATTCCTCGAGTGATAAATTAATTAGAAGGTAGCCAGAAGGTAGCTATTTACTTGGTAGAGCCGTTTGAGGGTCTCGAGGAATTTCAATCCATTCACGGGGAATGGTCCCTCGAAACGTAAATAATGATTGCGGGAAATTCCGATTCACCCTCACCGATCGCGAATCGCACCTTCCCCTTCCTAATTTTATCGCCGAGCTATGAACAACCACTGAACGCAAGCTTACAGGATGTTACATTGTGTTATCTGATCTCAGCTGTTGACGTGCGTTTTCATAGCTCTCAATCCATTGAAGCCGAAGAAATCGGAAGAAACAACATGATGATCACGTCCTGGCTTATCTGGTACTGACTGACCAAGCCGTACCACTCGTACGTACTTCTTTCGGATGTACCGATTAAGCATCTGATCTATTCGAGGTTACTACGCAAGTCTATAAGAACTACATGTCATCTGTTGACTCGGCATACTACATCCCTCAACAGTAATTTCCATGTCGTTGACCGACTTGAACATTCGTATTGCAACCAACGGGTAAGCACTTTTTTCTCAGAACCGAGGCCTCTCTGGACGAGAATGAGAACGAGAATGAGCTGCAAGCTACTCGTTCCGGCTTAAATTCCGTTCGAGCGACGAGAGGATAAATTTTCAATTCTATAACGCCAAGGGCGTTACATTCTACATTGCCATAGTGAATTGCATTCGCCGCATATCATCGCATAGACTCATTACACTGTTTTGCACACTGTCTAGGCGTCAATGCAATTACTGGCATATGGCTGCCATAAGTAAGTGACCAGTACACTCAGTATGCTACTCAACGTTCATCCTTTGAACCAATTTCGACACAGCGCTCCTTTTTTGGGATCATCTCCTTAGTTTGGGCATGTCCTGCATTATTTGGTATTTGCATGATGTCTGACTACATTTTCAGAAATCGAAATCAAGTATTTATGGAAAAAACCATTGAATTCGAGCGGATACTTGTTCATTATCCAGCGGTACTTCAATCCTATTGCAATAATTTTCACATTTGTGACGCTATTTGACGATTTACCTGTGAGGTGAGAATATCTTTTGATTCCCCGATTTTGTCGCCTTCTCTCAACTTCAAACTTCCGTTTAGTTGCAAGACATTAAGTAATATCAGACAGGGCATATTGATTATTGCTCAACTCGTTGTTACTCGTGAGTGGGCAGGCATGACTGTCAGTCAAGATATTAAGAGAGGAGATTGTAGTCATAATGACCTTGCGCATACATGCCCTATACGGCTGCAAGAAACGGCTTCTCTACTTTCTGCTCAGTGTCATTGCGAGTTTGCTGTCAATCGTCTTGGTGATCCTAAATCTATGATGCTCTCATCCCACTATTCTTATGAGAGATTTCAGATTGTTACATACACTATACACCTTGACCCGCCGCAGGAATCATCAATATCTGGAGGATGCTCTACTCAACTTGATTCTCATGAGTATGTGATATTTTTGTCTTAGCTTCAAACACCCTTGACAAAATTCAAACTGTTTAGTGCCTCTCGTTTGTTTCCGAATTCTGTATCATGACATGATCGGTAAAATTTTCATGGCAGGAGCCGCTGTGGCCTGGTTGATGATCTTCATTTATGATGTCCTTCTGTTTGGGCTCATGGTTCATAATGCCTTCAAAACCCGAAAAGAGCTCCATATGATCCATCGCCTGAAATTTCGAGCATCCCTTAGAGTAATTCTTCTTCGTGATGGTATGTGAATGACCATTGTCAAACTTACTATTGAACTTGACTAATGTTGTTATGTAGGGGCCATGTATTTTGGGTGAGCGAAATATTTCATGAGCAGTGAAAATGATAGAAACATCTCAATGGATATTTCTACTTTCATCAGGGTAATGACCTTGGTCAATCTCGCCAACATCTTGACCTACTATGTAAGTTCATCAATCATAAATCAACAAGGTGGAGCTAATTAGAACCGCACTAGTTCTCTGAGGTACGATTCACAGAATACCACACTGATCCTAATTTTGATGTTCTGACAAAGGACTGTATGCGTGGCGGATTGGCACCATTCACAAGCAGGTACCTCTGGAACTTGAGCTTTCGGTGTTTCCCTAAGCTCATGGATCTTTACAGCTTATCAGTAACCTTGGTGTCCAGATTAATGCTGAATTTACATCAAGTAAAGAGCTCCGGAATTTATCTTAGTGGCAGTCAAATGGTCACTGAATCCGACAAGACTGTATCTCATATGGTGTTCCGTGAACCAGGGGATTCTACACCATAGGATCTGAATATTCTACTTAACCCTGTTCCATTCACTGAATGATGCCAACGAAAATATGCAGGTTGTTGGTGTTAATTCCCGGAATATATTGCCCATTCTTTGTGAGGATAGAGCACTTTGACCAGCCACATTGGGTGAATTATAATAAAAGCCAAACGATACTTTTCGTTGTCAAGATGATCATCAACCGGGTACAGAAGGCTACTCAAAAGCGGCATCATGAGTCCAATTAATACACAGGAATTCGGATCCTTAGTAAATTCCATATTTAATAGAGTGTGTACTTAAAATCTGTGTTGCATCAATCATCCGTTCTTTAAATTTGGATTGCCCTTGGCTCCAATTCAGGTGGTTGAGGTGGACTTGGAGCACTGAGCATAAGAATGTATGTAGTAATAAACAGGTCGGACCATGCAAAACTTGAAAAGGCACTGTTCCCCTATTGAATTATGAGCATATGTACTGCATGTATATCTGCTTACTCAATGCCTCTTCCTGGAGGCAAGGCAGGGCGCTGAGATGTTTATTTTGATTTTGTGTCGGGAAACGGGGGTTAGTACGGAAGTCATTCATCACAAGCAGATACTTGGAAGATATCAAAATTGAGGTACTACCTACGCTGGAATGATTGATTGTCGAAGGAACCCACTCTTTAGTCAACAAGCTGGTTATGTTTTGTTCTTCTGATGCTCATCATGAGACTGGTACCAGACCTAGACTGTGAATGAGAGATTTAAATTTTGTGCGAGAATCTGTACAACAGAGGACAACACTTCAAGTTGCTGGTAATGACTTTATACTTTCAAAAACATAAGCAATCGAACCACCTCAAAAGAGCGCTGTAACAAACAAATTTCTATGGCCCGAAACCACCTCCCTCCCATATTTTTCCCCTATCCCTATCACCATCGTTATCAACATCTTCATCATCGCCGTCTTTGTCATGACTATCGTTATCATCATCTGAACTTGACCAAATGATTTTCTCCGGAGAAATCTGCAGAACTGCAGAGCCTGATAAGATCTAGTACCAATCAAAATGACAGGAACTCACCATCATCGATGGTGTTCTTCATTTTGCGTTTTTTCCGTGATGAATTTGTCACAACTGGCAGCACCCTTCAAAAGCGGCTTCCGTATAATAGCTATATACTCATCTCTAGCCTTGTTTGCATTGTCCCATGCGCTCGTCTCGTGTAAGTTTATGGGCATCGGACATAAGAGTGTGTTTGCATTGCCTTCCGAGCTGAGCTTCGCGCACCGCTTCAAGATCCACCGTCATGATAGTGCAAGCGCTGTGATCATCATTATAACAGCAATAAAAGGGCTGCTCATTATCATTCTCCGTAAAATTTTTATTTTCATCACCCCGCCCGCCAATCCTCTGTCAACTTGTCCGCGATAACGATGCTTGATGTATATGGATCCTTGACTGAGTTCGACGCGTATTGCGGAGCTTACAACGAAGCTGAGGAGAGGATGCAGGAGAGTGTTTCGTTATATATTGGTGGGAGTACAGATAGGCGATAGGGCGATGCCATGCCGACCGCGGCCGGCACCCTCATGTGACTGCTCTAAGTTTGACGGTCTCGACTCCCGAACCCTCATGATCATACCAACCATATACCACTCTCATCTCTGCATTTCTAGTAATCCTGCACTCTGTCAACACACTCGCACACCCTTACATATCCCGTTCTAGCCTCCCATGGCCAATTGCACTTAGTATCCGATCGTCCTGGACCTGTAACAGCTATAGTATCAGGTTCCGACTAAACAAAGGCTCTTTGTCCACTTACAATAAGTGGTATGGAGTACTGACAAATCATGCCTCAAGATTCACTATTCCGTTTTTGCAGGAAATGGTTATTTTCATTCGCAAGATGCACATCGAGGCGAAGAGACATGCGAACTCTAGCAGGCCGCCATATTAATCAGGACCGGTATGCCAGAAAATGTTGAGCAGCTGACAGATGACGGTTTACTTCCTCCCGCGGCTCTGTCGCGATCACAAGGCACAACAAGAATTTGGGGTGAGACATGCGATACGGTACAGCGCATTCGCTTTCATATTGATGCGCGATGAATGTAGTCCCAGCATTGAACAGTTCAAGGTATTCCTGTTGAGTTGATTCAACAAGGGATGCTTTTCTTCTTGTTCAACCGTTGGTTTGTTGAGCTTATTATTATTTGCTCTTGAGTTTCTATTAACCGATTTCTTTTGTTTTGTAGATATCGACGTTGTCAATATGAGACTCAACTGACTCAACCTTTACTGGTACTAGTAGGTACACTATCATCAGAAGTAATCGAAAGTAATCGAAAGAATTGCAAAATAAGCGAAAGTTCTGAGGGTGGGGCGGGGCGGGTTGATGATGTCCAAAATTGCCTCCGTATCATCAGACACCGAGTTAGACGTTAAAAGGTGAAATATAAATAGCTGCGTTGATCTACATCTTCCGCGTCCATCCCCGCATTCAACTCATTCACTCTTCCCCAGTTGAGCACAGAGTCGACAAGATGTCTCGTGAACTGCACGCCCCTTCTTCGTCGGGCTTGTTTTCTAGGTCAGTGGATCTTTAGTTACGTCAATAAATCAACGAAACTAACAAGACTCGTAGAGCTAATGCGGCTCCTTTGTATCGCATGCGCGCTCCCAGTCCTAGTACGAGCTCTAGCAGCGAGGATTCCCTGGATAGTAGGACTAGCATTGGAACCGCGTCTACCTACTCTTCCTCGTCTTCTACGCGTGAACACCGAGACACCCTCGCGGCGCGTAACACTTCCACAAATCCGACTCCTACTTCCTCCAGAACGAAACACACACACAAACACGCGACCGAACACATCCTTACAAGTGCTCGTAATGCCAACATTCCTATCCTCCTCCGTCATCAGCAGAAGAGGACCGGTCGCGTCAACGTTGTTAGTAGTCGCGGAAGGCGCACTCCCAGCGACGACGACGACGACGATTCCGACTACGAGCAGCATCAACGCCTCAAGAAGCAAAAGACCAAGTCTCAAGAACAGCTCGATGCTGAGCACCGCCGGATGCTTGATCGCAAGGCCGAGTTGGTGGACGATCCTCTGTTGGACGCGAGTAGGATGTGTCCTGACAAAGTTTGGTGTCTCCCATGCGACAAATATATCCAGATCGACAGCAGGAGGCAGTTCTATGCGACTTTATGGTACAAACACCGGGGGAAGAGACATGGGGATGTGCCTTTAAAGGTGGGGCCGTCTTTTCTTGCGGCTGTTGCGTCAATCTGACACTGGTCTCATTAATTTCTAGCGCTCAGAAGTGTATAGTGGGGACGATATAGACGTAGCCATGAGTGAAGAATACCCAGCAGCTCTCGCAGTACCAGTGATTGACGACGCCTTTGCGAGCAACATCCTTGCGACGATGTATTCCAAGGCCAAGGGCCTCAAACTGTTATCCCTTGCAGCGACAGCGGCTTTGAGTTAGAGAACCAAACCTGGATTCTGCTCCTCGGTGTAAAAATACCTGTGCTTCTATCAGATTGCTCTCTTGCTCATGTTTGTCTCATTTCCTCCTTCTTTTCCAGAGTTCACTCACTGTCAGTAGACCTGTAAACCAATGTATTGTAGTTTCCGGATCCCGTTGCATATCATCAATATAATTGCCAGTTTTCATACAATGAGTATAGGAAATTCGGGGTTGATTCTGAGTAAAATCGGATAAAGAGGGAGACAAATTATAATATAAGGAAACCTAAAGTGATGTTCAGAACTCAACTTATGATCCCAAAAATTGTCAGAAGGTACGGCAATAACCCCCTCTGGGGAGCTCTCCATCGCTCCTTCAAGTTGATTCGCTATACCTATATTACCGCAAGAAAATTGTCACTGAGGAGATTCGAGCTCCCGGCTTCGCGGACTGCGTAGATGCTTTGATTTCTCAAATGCCACAACACGATGATTTAACCACTAATCGACAGCGACTTAACCGTTCTCTCGAAACCGCGGGAAATATCCCTAGTTTAGCTCACTGTAATCACATGATGTGCGCAATATCTTCACACGGGGGTCGGAGGCGCTTTCAAGTTCTTGCCATCGTTTTCCTTATGGCTCTTTCGTCATTTCTACTTGCATCCAGCAAGAAACAGACTACTGTCGATACAGAACTCGATGCCTTGTTCCAATCCACCGCTGTATGTGTAAATAATCTACTCGATGTGCACGTTTAACTTAGCAGCAATTAGAAAGAATTTGAAGTTTCTTCTTCGACTCTGAGATCAGGGAAGCTGAAAAGAAAACATCAGGATGTCGGCTCAGCCCCTTCAAAACTCGCCATTAAGAAGGCCAAAGCAAAGGAATCCAAGTCCTCATTGAAACAAAAGAAGATTCTACTTCCAGACACAGGAACAACCAAACTGAACAACCCAACAAAAACATCGAATGCTATAGTGGAGAAGAGTAGCGATGGTGATGAGGAGGAGAGGGAAGAGAGCAAGTCTGACGGCGACGACGAAAACGACTCTGAGCTTGAAAATGCCTATCTATCGAGAGCGAATGGGAAAGGAAATTTTTCGGCATCGCATCGCGCCGGCAAACATGAAGAGCAATCGGAGGGGGCTGATGACGATGTCGAAGAGGCTTCCAGTGGGGCAGACGACGACGATGAAGGCCGCCCACCTCCTGACCATGAGTCTCTCACCAAGAGGCAACGCTCGAAAAAGCCGCCAAAGTCCATAATCAAATATGTTCCTCCTGACGAGAACCAGGACCAACGAAATGCTCGGACTATCTTCGTTGGCAATCTCAGTGTTGAGGTCTCTCAAAAGAAGGTGCTTGGTCTTTTAATTCATTCCTGTTAAATATGTCGCTTATTTGGATATTTCTCTAGTCGCTACTAAAATCGCTGCAACGACATATCCTCTCCCTAATACTTACGCCGTCGGGTTCCTCCAACATGACACCTAGAATTGAATCTACCCGATTTCGCTCAGTCCCGTTTGCAGTACCTACATCCAGACTCGAGAAGGAGGGGGACCAATCTTCAACTAACAATAGCAACCCGAAATCATCTACTAAATCTCGTCAGCACGATATTGACCGCACCAAGTCGTGGAGGAGATCTTCCGGCGACAAGGATGACGAAGACGCTGTCAAAGGCGAGAAACAGTTTCTTACTCCAGCACAGAAGAAAAAAGTTGCATTTATCAATCAGGAAATACACGCTTCTGGATCTAGCGTTAACGCCTACATCGTCTTTGCACATCCTACACCTGCATCCGCATCTGATGAGGTACCGAAGCGTAAATCGAATCTACCTCCGCTTCCGGACGTGATGAACCCTTACGATGCTGCGCGCCTTGCCAAAGAATACTGTGATGGGTCAGAATTCATGGAGCGTACGTTGAGGGTCGATGTTGTTGCTCATACTACAGACCTTTCTGTGGCAGAGGCTGGACGAGTGCTCAGAACAGGCAGCGATGTGGACCCTAAGCGATGCGTATTCGTTGGTAATCTGGATTTTGAGAGTAAGGAAGAGGATGTAAGAACGTACTTTGAGGGAATCATTAGCGCAGAGAAGGGGCCTCGACCAGGCGAAGGAACTGAGGAAAAAGACGTCTGGAGCGACGACGAAGGCAATGAAAAGAAGAAGGGATCAGCAAAGGCCAGAGCTCGATCGGAAGGCTGGGTAATCCGTGTTCGAATCATTCGTGACAAGGACACCCAGCTTGGCAAAGGCTTCGCCTATGTCCAATTTGCCGATCGCGACTGCGTAGATGAGATCCTTGCCGCAGCTCTGGAGCCTGGCAAGCTGAAATTCGCAAAACGCAAGCTGAGGGTGGAGAGATGCAAAACAATCCCGGGCGGGTCGTTCAAAGTCAAAGTCAAATCGACCCCCATTACATCCTCGTCGCGCCCGAACAATCCCAATCATCCTTCAAATTTCAAGACCAAACGATCCACCCCGTCGACGTCGTTAGCCTCAATATCCATCCCCAAAGGCGACCCCACCCTTGGTGCTAAACTTGCTCATCTTTCTAAAGAGGACCGGAAGAGCGCGAAAGCAGGTGATGCGGATCGTATGGCTCGGAGGTTGGCGAAGAAGAAATCCAGGATGGCTATGGCTGTCGGTGGAAGGACTGGTACGGGCGGAGTAAAACTACAGGGCAAAGAACGTGATAGAGAAAGAAAGCTACGTAGTGGTGGTGATGCTCATGGTAAAAAAGGAAAGGGACATGGTGCAGGAAGTGGCACCAAGAATAAGGGAAAGGCAATCAGTACGAGAGCTTTAGAGCAGAGGAATGCGAAGAAGTGATATTCATAGTACACATGTCACCATCGTTGTTAAACATTGCTCTAGTTGTTATGTATGCAAACGAGACGAAGATTTCTTTCCATTATCGTTGTCGCAGTCACCTCGCCATCGAGTAACGCACTCGGGAAGGGCACGGTTGATTTTTCAAATTTGATGATTTGTTGCCGGTTTATTGCCGGTCCGTCGGATATTTGATTCAGCTTTCTCGCACCATACCTTGAGTTTCAATACTTTTGAGCCCATAACACAGATATTGTAAATAATACACTGGCACTGCCAGTTTTTAAGGTTTTTTGATTTCACTGGCTATAGTCAGTGGTTATATTGTAAATAATCACTGACAGGGTCATTGGACACAAGATACGTCCATATTCGGAACAGTATTACATGATGTGTCCCGATTTAGAAGAATATTACGAGATAATGGCAATCAATAATGTCAAAAAGAATGAACAACCCCAGCAGGAATTGAACCCAAGAACTCTAGGTAGAAAGGACAACAACAATGCTGATGCTGGAACCACTTGCACCATATGCACACAAGAAACCTGCCTCATTATTGGTAATTATTTTACTCTGTGCATCAAATATCAGGCCTGCACTCCGCTCCCCTCCCCTCCCTCGCTACGCTCAGGGGGTCCCCCGAACCGGGGAGTCGTCGGCAGGCACTCTAAAGCTTCATTTGATGCTTTAAATATCTGCAAGCGCCTGCGGCGCACCTAACCCCTAACTGCGCTTCACGCAAGCCGCCTTCGGCGGCACCTAACCCTTAACGAAGTGTGCTGATTGCAGTGTGTTAGTTACTGTAGTCTCACTGTCGTTGCCACTAAAATTTGATTTTACAACCACTTACTATAGCCAGTGAAATCAAAAAACCTAAAAAACTGGTATTGCCAGTTGATTATCAATTATATCTACATTACAAGGTGTACTTTTATGCATGCAGTAGGAGTGTTTTTGTGGCCTTCAAACTCTTAAGTAGATACACTATCATCTTTTGCCTTCTAGTTACCTCAGGGATGATGAATATCCCCCTCTGAGTATTCATGTCTCCACTCAAGTTGAATTTATCACAATTTACAATTTTTGAAGGAATTCATGCCTCTATCCCCAATTTATGGGGGTCATGCAGTCCTACTTAGGGTTTGATACAGAGTGCCTGTTACTTGAGCTCAGAGCTCATATGGTAAAGTCCAGCATAAGCATTTCTTCTAAGAAGAACAAGCAAGCTCAAAGAACTTGAATAGGTATTAAGACTAAATAATATCTGCAAAACCTGAATGTTCACAAGAGCAATGGAGGCACTGTCCAGCTTCCAGCAATTCTTCAGTGCTGCTGGGAGCACTTTCCCAGCTGGATAGTGCTGTCAGCTGCTTTCTGTTGAGGGATATTCTGTGTGTACCTGAGACTTCTCCTTGTATGTAAAGTTACAAGACAGCATTATTACATTATACCATACAGTACCTAGGTAGACAACAATGGAATGCCTCTTGAACACCTCAGTTACTTTACTGAGTTAAACCTTGACACACTTTCGAGCTCTTAGCCAACCTGAAGAATACAGATTTTACAGATGAAGAGTTCAAAAACACAGAGAGCTATTGTACCAAATCCTCTAGCTCATGTAAAGAATATACAGCATCTTTTATAATGCATAAAGGGAAATGCATTGAAGGTTGGAGGACACCGTGACATTCAATGGGCAATGATGCAATGATAGGCTATTAGTTTCACTGTGCCTTCTCCTGAGTGTGCTACCTGAGGAATTTAACATGCATTCGCATGTGAGCCTCCTTCGTCCGGCTCGGAGGGGGCCTTTGGCCCCCTCCGTTCCAAGTACGTCTCACATGTGGTGCTCGCTTCGAAATTCTAGTTTTGAGGGGTGTCGGTGCTGGCGCACCTCCGTAAAACAATTATCAAGACACTGTAATGATTACACAAGGATGATATACTGAACAAGTAAGAATGTACAAGGTAATGGACGATAGACAGTCGCGACTGAATTCGATGACGAGTGATTTACAGGGGATTACCAAAAACGGCGGTGGCTGTGACCTCGTGGGATTTGCGAATATAGAATTGACGAAATTTTTCACCCTATGGCCAGTATTGCTTCGCTTCGCTCGCAATCATTCCTAAGGTACTTAGAAAGCAGAAAAATGACAGTGTATTCACTGAAGAGTTTGAAGGCCACAAAAATACTTTTACTGCATGTATTAAAAGTGTCAATGGTGAGATATCAAATCCGACGGACCGGCAATAAACTGGCAACAAATCATCAAATTTGAAAAATCAACCGTGCCCTTCCCGAGTGCGTTACATCGAGGCGAGTTTATCTTAAGGGAATCTCCAGATTTGTCTGCTGCAGTCTTGCACGCGGTAGTATGGGCTGAGGACTGATTGACATGCACAGGTGAAACTATGTACAGGTTTGCAGAGTGTTCGATGCTTGCCATAGCAAGACGACCCGCTACTAAATGGCATAGCTTGACAAAATACATGTAATTCATAGTAAGTCCACCGATAATTGACAAGCAATATGGGGCTCATTCAACTTTGTCTCCAATGCAGAGCTCAGTGGATAGGCATACTGTATGGGCAACAAATGGGCAATCTGTTAGAACTGCTATCACATACATGCAACTGCATTGAACTCACGATAATTTCAAGTGTAGTTTAGCTTCCATAATTGCAATCAAACCATGAGACATTCTGCATTCGATGTCGGAAGGCATCATGGTTATTACCCATGATTCGACGCAATGCCATCAATAAAATAGGATTGATATGGTACCGTCGAAGTGGAAGGTCCAAGGAGAACTCCCCATTGAACATTTCGCCTTCAGATTTTGCTTCTTCTTCTTCGTCACCCTCATCCTCATTGAGATCATCCAGTTCATCATCATTGTCTTCACCAAGTTCATCGCCCTCGCTATTATCATCACGATCATCATCTCCCAATCTTCTCATCTTGAATGAACATCGGGGTTTAGTCCCATAGGGAAACCCAGGAGCGGTTACAACATCCTCTGCATCTTCTTCTTCGGCTGGAACTTCCACCCCAACGTCTATCTCTATGCCTGCATCTTCAGCTACTGGCACTGGAACTTGGGAACGTATATATGGACCATTTCTGCGGGAATGTGCAGTGGTGAAAAAATCAGGAGACAATGAGTTGTTGGTGTAATCAACAAGGACCCAATATGGACCCGCAATTATAAATGCATAAATGGTGAAGGGCCTTGTACGATCAATCTGGAATTCCTCACAGATGTATTGGGCTTGGGTATTAACTTGGTTGACCGTGTTCGCAATCTGTACTCTTGCAGCATCATATGCCTCAGGAGTGAACCAGTCGTAGTAATCTAATGGCTTTATCTCAGCCCAAAATAGAAGAACCTTCTGAGGCGTGTCATCGAGCCCAAGCACGACTGTGTCAGGCACCTTATAGCGCCGCACATTCCCATAATTTTTCTCGATACGGTATTGGGACATGACTCCTACTGTGACTGTCGGTTTTCCAGCATTAACATCCTTAATTTTGAGGGCTAACAGGTTCCACAAAGGATCCCACATCCCATAGAGATCGCACTCCAGCCTACAGCGCTCTTGTGCCAATTTGCAGAGTGCAATCTGGTCACTGATGAATTGTTTTTTCTCCCGAATGACATAGTTTGTGTGAATCTTGTAAGATGAGCATCGGCGAGTCTCTTAAAAAGTATGAACGGTGTATGAACAGCTATGAACGGCGTACCGGATGCTAAAAGTCATTGCCTATTGGTTCCAGCTGTGGGTTCAATTATATGATTTTGATTTTAAACCCATTGTAAAGGTTAAAACTTGTACTAAGTGCATCACTAAATCATGAAGGTTCTTGAGAGCAATTGTGACAGCTATCATATTGTCTAACCTTTTTGTTCAATCATGATGGAAAATAATGGATTATATTTTCCGGAAAACCTTGCGACTAACTTAGGATGGCTCGTCAGATAGGTGAAACAATTGTGAGAGATTGTGAGAGGTTGTGAGCGTTGTGAGACAATGAGAACTCTCCAACAATCTACGTCAATACTGATGCTACTTTATAAAATATTATCCGCTTGTACTCATCTTATATGTTCTGTGCAACCTCTTGCAGGAATGGGGCAGGATGTTCCTCCAATTATGATGACATATAACTCAGCTAGTAAACTGAAAGTAAATTCTCGTATCACTCGAGGTATGTGCAGTATATACAATTGGTCATACTCCATTATAACAACACATCCCTGTAGTCCCTGTAGCTATGAAATCTCTCGTGATCCTTCGACCTCGTTTTTCAGATACAATTTGCCAACTTGCCATGTCCCCTCAACGTCCTTCTTCGGAAGACTCGCCTCCCCGCAAATGCCATAAAGAGTTATCGCTGTCATTTGACTCACCTGAGACCCAACTTACCGTGGATGGGTGTGTATCAGATGGCGGGTTCGATGGTGACCTTTCAAGCCCTATTCACCATTACGAAGAAATTGAGTCCGAAATGTAAGCAGTATATCCTCTTTCCTATTTTTTTTTCTATTTTTCATATTCTGAATAGGCACAAAAACAACAGTTCGCAAGTAGAAGTCAAGAATGCCGAGCAGAGTCTGGACTCATTGTGTGTAATTATCTGCTCCTCAATGCACCAGAACTAACACTTAGTATATAGATATTCCGATGACATACCAAGTCAATTGCCCACTACTAGTCAAATCGAGTTCACTGCTTCTCAGCAATCACTGTTAAATTGGGTCGACAACCTTTCGCAAGCTCAAGCAGATCAGGAAGCTATATACCGGGAAGCAGAACTGAAATTGCTTGATAACAGTGGCCCAGGCTATGGTGGATACGATGAACCTTCAAATAGTCGCCACCACCGTAGCATTACACCTCCCTGTTCCGATCCCTGTGTCCCTTGTCGGTCTTCATCTTCCTTCAACAACCTTGGTGCGCTTCTTTCATTCTTATTAATGCTACTTTAACAAACCACTATCTAGGGCCCCGGGGATCTCTTGATGCAAAGGATATTATGTTGGCATGGTATCAGCAACGTCTGGACTCACTTGAAAGCAAACTTGCCATTCACAGGGCTCACTCGGCTCTGTGGCGTCGACTTGTTGGTACTATGGCGGAACGGGCAAATGACATTGGTGCTGTACTTAATGATGCTGTTATGTGGGGCGTCGATGAGATAAATATGCCACCACTACCACCTGGGTACATTGAATTCCAAGAAACATTGTGATCATTACTAGCTACTATTCAATATCTTCGTCGTCTATGTCAGAACTTTCATCTACACTTTTGTCATGCCTCGACCGTTAACCACAGCTCCCTTTCTCCCGTCTTCATGCCTGGTGACTACCAGGACAGCCCCAGTATCAGCCATACGCTCTCACAACCCGCACAGAACCACCTCCGTACCTCCCCAAAACATACCAGTTACCATCTTCAGATCCCTCGACACAAGTAACCCCTAAAACCTCCCCCGACACGCGTAAGAAGCCCTCCTACACCTACCCCATTAAGGTACTAATCTCGATTACATGCCTCATGGTCCCTGATGTTCCCTTGTTCACTTCCCATACCTATTTAAGTAGCTCCGTAACGTCCCCAAGCCCCAGCTTGGTATATTTTGAACACACACCCTTTTTCATAGGTCCAGTCCCTGTCCCTTTGTACCTGCTAACCATACGGATTTCTCTTTACTCTCTGTTTCTCTACCTCTGTTTCTCTCTACTTCTGTCTATTGTCTCTCTGATCGTCCATACGATCGAATATACGCTTTCACTTCAAGTCTAAGCCTTCCGAGTGAGTCTCCGAGCTCCCTCGAACATTACTAAAGCTCCCCAACGCCTACCCGCTTGGTGAGTTACCCTTCCCCAAACCTCCCAGAGCTCCCTAGCTACTTCGTAAGCTTCGGGACCTCGATCTAGGTAACGTCGAAGCTACCCCTCACGTCGAACTACGTATTGCTTCTCCGTTACCACCTCCCACACTCGAGGACGACCATCCTCAAACCTAGTCCCCAGGGACCTACCCTCCCTGGCATATCCCTTCTCGGGAGCTTACACCCTCGAGACCCCGTTGCATAAACCACCTACTCGACTCTATATTGACGTTCTAGCGAGTACAACTCCTACTACGCAATATCTTACGGTCCCGCACTCGTCCCGAACCTCCCTACGCATTAGGGACCTCCCTGGACCTCCTAGGAACCCCTCAAGGGTCACCATCTCGTCGTTCCAACCACTACTAGGTCATTCCCGTCCTCGGTCGCGGTTCTCGTAGCTCCCTTCGAGCTCCAGCCTGCTCCTAGCACGCTACAACATAAACCTCCACATACCAAAACCTACCCTAAGACCTATTTTGACCCAGGTCTTACATTATACCAAGCTCTCCCGTCACCGAACGGACTCGTCGCGACGAAATGTCGGCGACGTCAACGGAACGACCTTCTAGTTCCAAAACCGAATCAAAGAAACAAAAGAGCGCCTTATCTCGTGGAAACACGACACAAGCTCAAAAATCGAACCAGGCTGCTAGCTCCACTGTCATCACGGTGGCAGCTGGTCAACGCCTGATGTCCATCCCAGAACAGTCGTTCGGGGATGAAACCGCCAGTAACATCCGGACCCCAGAGGGACGTCAACCGGAGGTTCAGGGGCCCCCTCCAGTGGAACCTGGGATGGGACCACCACAACGGAGGTTTACCTCCATGGGTTACGCCGAACCTGCCAGTAGTCCCATGGGAGGTTTCGCATACTCCCCTACCTGGGGAACGAGAGGACCTCCCCCTGGACCGATACCGCAGCTAGACATGGAGTCAGCTTCGAACGCGGGTGGAAGAGTCAGCGGTCAAGTAGCCGCTATCGAAAGGATACAAGGGGGAAGTACCGACCCTCTCACAGTACGACAACAGGAGAAACTTCCAGAGAGGAGGGTATCCCCTGCCGTATCCGAACAATCTCGGGCGTCATCCCGGAGGTTACCAACACCTCCAGTACAGTCCCTTAACCTTCCTCCCCCGAGACGAGGAAGTTCACTCTCCAGTCTCCTGAAGAGCCCAGCTATGAATACGCCCAACTGGGAGCGTACACACGCAATACACCATAGCAGGACCAACTTCCCAGTACAACCCTTGTCCGAAATGACATTGCGTCTGGAAGACGTCATTCGAATTCAGGAGTGTATCCCGGAGGATGTAGCTATGGTCCTAAGGGAGGTATTGGAGTCAATGGGGATCGAAATATTGGGAGACGGTCTCAAATTCTCAGACCTACGAGTACAGTTCCTAACAGTGGGAACTCAACTGGAGGTAGACCTCCCAGAGAAGGCCCAGCAGTGGCTGATGACCCCCGCGAACCGATCAGATTTTCTCTGGCTGTACAACGTCCTATTGGACCCAGAGAGGATGTTGGAACTGTTAGAGGCAGAGGCACGTTACGGGCGATCGTTCCGAAACTCGAGGGGAATACTTCCCCTCCTCCCTCATACCCATGGAAGGGAGAAGGAATTCTGTGGCGAAGCAGGGCTACGTATATTGTACCGAGCCTCTAACTACAGATCAGGAGCCGTACGGTTTGAACCTCCCCCTTCGAGGGTTAACATACCGAACTACCAGGCGATCCAAATACTTCGGAACGCAAACCTAGCGGAAGCAGCAGCTAAAATCGATGAGGAAAGTAACGAGGATGCTAACGCAATCGCTGCAAAAAATCGTAGACGCAGGAGATACACCACGGCTCACCTCCTGGCCCCAGTGGAGTCAATGCCTGATCAGGATAGTCCCGTCCGGGTCCGTAACGGACAGACGGTATACACGTACACGCCCATGAGGCATATGCACCAGCTTCTGGTGAGGAGTGAGGAGTCTGAAGCGATGTTGTGTTCGCAGGAGACCCGACATCGGACGCTACTAGCGGAATCAGACACTCTGATGCTGTCGGAGGAACTTTCTGGATCGAATCTAGAAAGAGCTTTGGAATTCCGTCGCAGACTGGTCGCGGATAATCGGGGAACCTCGTATATGGTTCAATGCGAACTCGAAAGCGTAGGGGAGTTCCCTCCGGAGCAATTTGACCAGAAAGGGCAGCTCCATGGATCTGATGGTCGTTTCCTGGCACAGAAACATTCATCGCCCAGGAATACCGAGGTTCCTGAACTCCTTAACCCCGGTAACACGGCCACGAGGAGCCCCCAGTTACGCTCTGGGACCTCCCCCAATGTACATGCCTTGTATCAAAATGCGACTCCTCCCCCCAGAGTTAACCTGCAAACGAAACCTTTAACCCCAGTCTCGACGCAGCGATACCAGTTTGGTGAGGTGAGGATGTGTAAGACCTGGGTCAAAATAGGTCTTAGGGTAGGTTTTGGTATGTGGAGGTTTATGTTGTAGCGTGCTAGGAGCAGGCTGGAGCTCGAAGGGAGCTACGAGAACCGCGACCGAGGACGGGAATGACCTAGTAGTGGTTGGAACGACGAGATGGTGACCCTTGAGGGGTTCCTAGGAGGTCCAGGGAGGTCCCTAATGCGTAGGGAGGTTCGGGACGAGTGCGGGACCGTAAGATATTGCGTAGTAGGAGTTGTACTCGCTAGAACGTCAATATAGAGTCGAGTAGGTGGTTTATGCAACGGGGTCTCGAGGGTGTAAGCTCCCGAGAAGGGATATGCCAGGGAGGGTAGGTCCCTGGGGACTAGGTTGGAGGATGGTCGTCCTCGAGTGTGGGAGGTGGTAACGGAGAAGCAATACGTAGTTCGACGTGAGGGGTAGCTTCGACGTTACCTAGATCGAGGTCCCGAAGCTTACGAAGTAGCTAGGGAGCTCTGGGAGGTTTGGGGAAGAGTAGCTCACCAAGCGGGTAGGCGTTGGGGAGCTTTAGTAATGTTCGAGGGAGCTCGGGGACTCACTCGGAAGGCTTAGACTTGAAGTAAAAGCGTATATTCGATCGTACAGACGATCAGAGAGACAATAGACAGAAGTAGAGAGAAACAGAGGTAGAGAAACAGAGAGTAAAGAGAAATCCGTATGGTTAGCAGGTACAAAGGGACAGGGACTGGACCTATGCAAAAGGGTGTGTGTTCAAAATATACCAAGCTGGGGCTTCAGGACATTGCGGCGTTACTTAAATAGGTACGGGAAGTGAACAAGAGAACATCTGGAGGCATGAGGTAGCTAATCGGAGGGAGGGAGGTAATCGAGATTAGCTGGGGCTTCAAGACATTGCGGCGTTACTTAAATAGGTACGGGAAGTGAACAAGAGAACATCTGGAGGCATGAGGTAGCTAATCGGAGGGAGGGAGGTAATCGAGATTAATACTTAAAGGGGTTATCGGCTAGAGGGCTTTCGTACGCGTGTCAGGGTGAAGGACGTTTGGGTAGTGGCGTCAGAAATACTTGGGGAGGTGTCTGGTGGTACTTGGGGAGGTGCGGAGGACATACAGGAGGTGGGTAGGACGTATGGTAACGTGTGGTGGTTACTGGGACTGGTCTGGTTGTAGCCAGGGCATGACATTACCCCCCCCTGTAACCCCTTCGCGCCCTCGCGATGGGTAGGCGCGTTTTTCTGGGCAGTCACCTGACAATCACGTGGTACCCAAAAATTTTCTTGTTGAAGTCCTTCCGATCCTTGCTTCTCCCTTTCTTCCACCGCCTCAGTTTTTACGAGTCAAACTCTTCTAACTGCGATGTCTCCCACCCCTACTCGACCTTCTTCACGCACGCCATCTCCGTTGTTACCCCCTCTTACCGCTTTGGGAGAGGTACCTTCCCCGGCTCCTGAATCCGATGGGGAGGTCGAGGCTGATGAGCTAGCTTTTACGATCGAGTCGCCGTCTCGTCCCCAGCTTCAGCTGTTCGAAACGGTCTTCAATACTGGCAAATCGCTGTCGGCCTACTGCCAGGATGACCCCTTATGGCCTATTTTAGTGGAGGTGGCATCTCCCTGTACCAACTGTCTGAAAACCCCAGGAAAATGTAGGGTGTTGCCAAGCTCCCCTCGGTGTACGAACTGCTCGTCCAAGAAGACTTGCAGTCTGGGGAAGATCCTCCGGTATAGATATTTCGCCCGTCGCTGTAATCAAGATCTTGCCTACAGCCGAAGATTCTTAGAGCTCCACGGAACTCCTGCCCATAATTCGACTTGGGGTATTCCATTGACTGTCTGGCGCGAATACGACTCTGCGCTTCATGCGCGTACCTCCTCCACCTCCATCCTTCTGGAGCTGAATATGTTGGACGAGCAG